TCGCCTATAAGGAATTACATTTAAGATTCTTAAAATAAAATCCGTGGTCGTATTTTTTCAATGATTTTGATAATTCTCAATGGCCATTCAATAATACTTTCTTTACTACATAACCTTATTAATGGCAATTACTGGTACGAGTGTTTGATTTCACTTTTAAACCCAAAGGTTTAAGAAAGTAAGCGGAAGACGGGAAAGTATACCTATATTTAAACGTACCTTTTTATAATTTACTAACCATTTTTATACTAATAGAAATGACCACAAATTATACATGAACAATTTCATTAAACGTTTACAAGAACATACCTATACTGTTTACATAGGTACGTTTAGAGTGCACCTCGTTGATTAGAATAGGGACAGTAAAGTGTCCCTTTACTTTTAATTAAAATTGAGGTCGAACGGAAAACATTCAGTGTACTTTGAGACGGTCAACAAACAACCGGCTGCAACGAGTATATTTTATACATTTTTAAATTAACTTAAACTTAATTCGTTTGCACTGGTGGATGCCGTTTGCTATCAAAATAGTTGCTTCTTTTTTAACGAGTTCGATTTGCATTAAAGTTGAACTTGGATTCAAGTTCCAGATTTGTGTACTGAAATTACTACATTTGATTTAGATTAATGTTGATATTCTACACCACTCAAGTCTATTTTAGGAAAGGGTTTACGTCAAACTAAAATAAGTATCCAAACAAACTAATGACGTAGTTCATAAGTAGATTATACACAATCCTACGCTATTCCCCATACAGATACAAATCCAAGATATTAATATCAGAGCAAAACCACGTCAAAATGGCAGAGCACAAGTTGTACGCAATGCTCATAATATCACACCTCTAGCCTTTTCAAAATGGATCATCAAAGTTCTGAGTATCCACACTACTTTGTACCGACAACAAATAAATACTGTTAGGAAACTATTTAGCATTTCTAATATAATACCGGATACCGGAATACTACTGACTTTCGTAGCAGTATCTTTAGAAAATAAAATAGAATTTATTTTTAATCTATAAGTTTACTTATAAGATTTGGTTTTTTACCAAAGGAATCGAGGACATTTCCTTTTTATTTTTCAATGGATTTTCCAGATTGAAGTGCACCTGTCATATAATTAAATTAATGTGATGCAACCTTTCATTTCTTTACTTTCAGTTTTTCAGAATAAAATCTTCTTTCTATAACAACATATTTGATTTGCAGCACCTACCAATACACATATATTTAACTTCAATTTTCTAATTCCTACTGTGAAATACAATACCAAATATTGTAATCAGTCTCATTTGCTATCGGTGTATTCCGAGAGATTCATATCGCTAGGCCGGATACCACTGAATCATTCACCCGTAGGATCTTATAACTTGTCAACATTATATTGAGATGTATCCATTGTCACGAGTTAACGTTTGACACGGGTCCCAAAAATTACCTTCGTTCATTTATAATGAGGGGATCGAATTCACAGACATATTTGCTTGTCATTTTTCGCTATAAGAATAGGTATACGTTCTCTGTTTACTTAAGATTTATTGAAGACGTTTTATATTAAGAGGTCAACAACCGGTACAAGGAACTTGTTACTAGGAAAGATTGTTATCATCGTTTTTATTCGGATAACCATGCCCAAGTTACTACTAATCACAGAAAAACTTGTAATTAAAGAAGTCTTTCAACCGAAAGTGGAAATTTATCTGCCTGAAAGATCACGGAGACAAACTTACAAAAATGTCTTCCAGCTTTGAATTTTAATTCTCAAACTGACTTACAATGGCTTCCACAGCAGAATGAATATTCAGACTTTCTTGAAACTGCATAGGGATTAGGGAAGAGAAAATATCACCACATGCGTCCCTCACATACTTCCCTTCTGTTGATTACATCCGCAGATGTGTACATGTGTAAGCAACAACACTATCTATCATTTGTTTTTCTACCCACAAGACCGCGACGTGGCTTCCTTTGAGAACAGTCGCACTGTGAAAATATTATAAGAATGAGATCATGTTCGATACATTATGATCAATTCGGCTGAACACCGATATCACTTGGGAATGTGTTTAGCAACCAATTTATAAACATTACTGCTTTTAATAATATAAAAACAGTTCCCTTTGAACTTTTATTTGAAAGTGATCAAATCATGAGATTAATTTGGGGGCTTTTTTTTAAGGGGGAAATCATCGAATGACTGCTCCCACCTGGGTTAATTTGGGGGCTACCTGTATTATACATGTATTATGTAAAGGATTTTGAGTGCCAATAGTAATCAAAACCTAAAATCCTACCTTATCCTTTTATCACATCTACATATGCTTTGAAGCACAACGTTTGTTTGTAACAGCCCACAATTTTCACGAGCCAATATAAATAAACCCACGGTGTGTAGGCTGAAGGTCGATAAAATAACCCTGTGGACCCTGCAGTGGCAGGATGAAATCTCATCAATGACCTACTATTAATATCATAATAACCCTTGCCATTGCTAAGATTTACGACCACGGCACTGTGTAAGATGCTGACGCATTCTCATTATTCTACCGATTCTCTATAGAAATTATGCTAAGAACACGGACTGTGATCATAATTTAGTAAAAAATTGAGGATTTGAACGTAAATTACAAAATATTTTTAACATCTTCTGATTTAATTTTATTGTAGTGTCGACAAAATTTGGATTTCTTAATAAATTCAAACTTGAATAAATCTTTATTAATACATTTTAAATTTCTCCAACGTAACACTCAACACGGTATTACATGTTTACAACAAAAAAGTAGTAAACAATGGTAGAAAGTACAATAAAATTACTGTAGGACACCATCAATCTTCCATCAGTCGTACCACACGTGCCACGGGAAATAAAAAAGATCAGCGCGTGGAGTACGCGGAAGCGAGACGTTTTCGTTTTTGCCACAAATGGAAACAAACCTAATCCACTCGACACTTCGCACTTTATTGAATGTATCCAGATCCTTACAATCAATACAAAGTCCCAGTAACTACAATAAAATTTATAAACATTAAAATGAGGTTGAATGACTTTAGGCAATCGCTACGAAAGTCGCCTACGACGCGTAGCAGATCGGCTACGAAATATTTTCGTTTAATCAGCTTAAACGCCAAAAGTTGTTAAAGGATGGTATTGTATAACAACTTAAATTCAAAAAGTTTTAGTAAAACTTAATAATATTAATCTTACTAAAATTATAAAGAAAGTGATCTGATAAACGCTGAAAACTTTTCTTAATAGAAGATAGTGGCTTACTCGTGCAGGTCTATCCCATTCCCACATACATCACACATGCTAACAAATTCATTACAGTGAGTAATTGACAATCTCCTGTTAATTGTGTAAGATTACGGTCATGTTTACTACAGTAGCCTATAATTTGTGTTCCAAATAAGATTTACTAATGATACAACGTACATAAAACACATACTGCTAATTGCTTTGAAATAACTGGACACTGCTTCAACACCTTTCTAAATAATTGCCGTATAATGAACAAAGTACACGTTTATATGGCTAAATCCCTATTTAATAATAAAGAATAGTATATCAGTGTGTTTTGTACTTATTTCCCTGTGGACAGAAAGCTTTTAGGCGCAAATTAGAATCTTGATACTACTGGCCATTTTTAGTTTCCCCCTGTGGAAAAAAGGTGTCAATGAGTACGCGAAAGTTATTTTGCAAGAACGTGTTTCTAAGTAAATTAGCTGGACTGACTTTTAAACCTACTTAACTATGTACCACGCAATGTGATGAGCTTATTACCATTCTAGTAGGTGTTTCAACAATGTTACTAATTAGCTGTACCTACAATAGTTTTAAATACGATCAACACTTTGACCAACACTAGACCTTACGAATAAAACGCAAAAAAGTATATTTTGCTCCTGAATATTTTATGTATTTGTATTTTCATTTGGTGAACTTTTTTAGTGCCCAACCGTATTGTGTAACCACTGTAGTATTTTTTTGCAAGGGGAAAATCATCCAATGGTTTCTCCCGCCCGGGTGAGACGAGAGGAAGGGACAGACTTTTATTGACTAAAAACCCGTTCCTAATCCTGCACTTCGAGCCGGAACCCCGGCAACCCGTTAAGTCTTCCGCGGCTCGGTATCGGCATCAGCCATATTGGTCCTCATCTGTGGTGTTCTGACTTTAGCTGTCCTATAGTTATTTCCAGTGTATCAACTATCAACCATTAAAACTTTGTTGAACTTCTAAAGTAGTTATATACCTTCCTACCTATACATTTTTCCCTGTAAGGGCTGATCATTAGAAAGAAAACATGATATGCTGCGGTAATTATAACTTAAAATGAAGCTCGGATTCATTAAACTCTAAGTGAGAGGAAAGTTTATCTTGTACCTACCTTTTTATTTACTCCAACTTCTAAGTCAACCTTCTTGCAACATTGTCAGGAAATATCTTGGAAAATGTTAACCTCTGCCAATTAAAACTATAGGTAGTTACTTTAGATTTTCTACTGTTTAGTGATTTTCAGTTTGTTTCCAGAATGTCATGTGTTTTACATTTTTATGGTTTATTCAGAGCTATATGTTTGAATAAAAAGTATAATTTATGTGTAATGCTAAGTGTGTTCTCAAAAATTTCTTATTAGACATACAGTTAGTATGTAGAATTTCCAAAAAAGTTTAAAACATAATTATGCAAATAATTTTCCTCCAGTCATACGAGTACAGTTCAGATGTCAGGAACAAAGTTTACGATTAACCTACTTGATTGAATGTCGGGAAGGCTTCACTTCGTTATTGTGTGTTGTTGACGAATCTCTTCCGTGATATTATTATTATCTTTTGTTGTACAACATGCAATAATGTACTCCATATTTTATTTATACGGTTGAAACTAACCAGGTTTCCTCTACGTTACGTTATCAAAGTGTCATTCAAGTAAAACAACTTCAGACCTTTTCGAAAATTAACATACCAGTTAACACTATATTTTTCCTCACAGGTACTGCCCAGGCGCAGTTAAGAGACGGTCGAGCACAAAGCCTGGACCTTCTCCGCATGCTCACCGACAAACCATGGATCGGACTCGGACCCCACAACCGCTGGGACAGGGCACCTCGTATTGACATGGATTTAGGATACACGGGCTTAGGACCTCACCTGCCTCCGGTACAGGTTGCTGAGGATAGGAATTACCTTGATGATGAGATCAGGTACGTTCGCAGAGTTGAAAGATAACATGAACTTGGTATTTGGTGCAATTCATGGAATCCAAACCGAATCGTATAATAATCCTTTGTGTACACTGAAGCATTTTTCCTTCTTTTAGGCAGAAGCATTTGTTTAATGGCGTTATTGTTTCCCAGGGGCGTGTCAGAAAAGCGATCCGCCGTGGCGACAGCACTAAACTCGGGTCGCCGGAGACGGCAGCCGACTCCGGCGCTTGGTAAGGCAGTCACGCCGTATGTCGGCGTCGGTAAGCAGCCGGTCGCACCGCTATAATATCGTCGATGTTGTTACTAATCAGCCATTCTTCAAGCTTGCCATTATTTAATAACTAATATTTTAATAAACTGCTGTAGTTTACTGACATTTTCAAGATTTAAAGCACACTATGAAAATGAGTATGTGATTTTGTTTGTCACTTCGAAACACTACTGCCTTCAAAATCGTTACTACCTAATACAAACTGTCAAACTATAAATAACTATTTTGTAAATAACTATTTAAATGTACTTTAAAATATCGATTTACTACATAAATCTATTTTGAAATGGCAATCACAGTTTTCTTGCAATGAATGACAGCCGAGACCGGTGTATGTCAACATAAGCAGCTTACCTACTTAGATGTGTCCTGTTTCTACATATAAACATTTCTTAGTTTTCATATTGTAGAGACGGATACCCACTAACTTTAGGTACTTATTGTTTTATAATCTTTTTACATATAATTCAAACATCATAAACTGTGCTCTTTTATGTACGTCCCTACAATCTGAAAACTTGTATAATTTTGTGTTTAATCTATGTGTAGGTAGGTACAGACAATAATACCCAACAATATAATTACTCAATGTTGTCACTTTAATAATCCAAATGTTAATGTTTAAGTACTTTTATATGCCTCCCACATAGTCCAAGAAACCACACACTACTTAGATAAGTAGTAATTTCTTTACGTCTGCTTGAAATAACTTCATGACACGTCTCTGTTATGAAGATAAATATTTACACTAACACCTACTCGCCTACTTATTTCACTAATTAACCAGCAGCACTGGTAGTAAAACAGTAAAACTACATTAATATGTCATGAGTTACTTCACACTAAACACAGAAAGCACGCCACCTACTAAAAGTTCCTGTATAAAAGTATGCGGCAACGTGTACACAGATAGCAACTGTTGTCGTGCATTAACTCTGCAGGCGTCTCTGGAATATAATAATGTATACATTACAAAGTTAAAAAAGTCTGTATAATATACTGCTTTTTAACTATATTATTAAATAAAATATTATCATGTTCACCTTACCTAGTGACGCCATTAAACAACAATATATCATATTACATAGCACGTAACATCATCCATTTTAGATGTTGATATTAACAAAAGGAAATACAATCTATAAGGAACTTTGAATGGACCCCTCTATTAAGCTTCAGGAAATATTTCATCATGATGATCCTTTAATACACACACCTTGTATATTACTTAGGTCACATACATTAATTTCAAATAATACTTAGCTAAGTTGGAGTAAGGATTGTAATAACATAATAAGTACTTTTTGGCATAGCTAGTATACGTACGTTATGTTTTTGATCAAGAGCCTTTCTATTTTGGAAAACCACGCTTAATTCCTGTGTGTATTAAAACAGCAAAGACAATACCCATGAGGATTTTCAAATGAATACCTACCTATAGCCAAAATACTTTTCCTGACCCCGACTGCTTATTATCTCATTTGCCACCTCAGTCGATGACACGGCCGTGGCTTATCATTTTGATCTCCTAAAGATTTTAAACAATATCCGATTACCCAAACTCAAAAGGTTCACTTTCTAATCAGGTAACTTTAGGCTGATCAAGTCAAATATCAGACTGCCTCGTTGGCCGAGCAGTTGCAAATGCGATTAATCAAGGTTTTAGATTCCATACCTGAGTTAGGCAAAGTGTTTTGGAATTCCCAACAAATGTATGGTAATGGACTTATAACTATATGTATAATGTAACATTTCATATTGCTTTTGAGATTTTTGTGTGACTGAAATAAATATACCTACAGAGTACGCTTTCGTCCGCAGGCGTGCTAAACGACATGGGCTCATTCTTCGACTCCCTGCGTGACAACCTGGAGACGCTGGTGTCCCTCTCGCCACAGGAACGCTCCACACTCTTCCAGGACCCACCGTCTGTTGTACCCGCACCGGCTTCCAGTAAGTCATTAACAAGATCGAGATCCAAAAGCATACAAGATAGCTATTAAGATAACCGTGCGACTACGTACGTACTTGTAAAATGATTATAAATGTTGGACTATTGGACAAAACTAAAACCTAAACTGCATCTATTAACTTCACTAAATTTGATGAAATTTCTATCTCCAGGATACCTACTGAACTAAAACATGTCATCCAAATCATTAAACTTGTTTTTGAATACCCTTTTGTAAGTACAATCGTAAGCAAATTATTTGGATAACAAAAATAAGCACGTATCTGCATAAACCCAGCTATTACATTATTATGCATAACTCGGTCTTATGGTACGATACACCTAACACGTTTATAATTGACATGGCATTTGTCGAATGTACGAGTATTCAATGGGAATACACAAAATCCTCCAATTATTTTATCAGTACCTAGGTCCCATATATTAATATTGAGCCCACAGTCATTAAACTGTCATTTCACTGTATTTTCAGTCTATTTCGACACAAGAAATCAAACAATACCTAAGTATAACAAATTAGAAAATTAAATACGTCCACAGCGATCGTAAATAATGAAACTTATCTTGACTTAACAGAATAGGTACATAATTTATTGTAGCACCAAACTGAAAATTACCTACTAACTAAATAACAAATTTAAAGTTATGATATCGTAGTTCCTAATTTATAGCAAAGTATCTATATAATAATAAGACGTTGGAAATCTAATTTTATATATCGCACCGTATATAAGTAAATACAATGTAATCAGAAGTGTAAACAACATGCGATAACATTTCCATTCACACTATTAATAAATAAAAAAGTTTGGTTAGAACTCGTGTGCGATAAACTGACACAATGATGGCGTGAACAACTCTAGTGGGACGTTGCTGTGCAGGCCGACTGCCGAGCTGTACAGCTAATTAAACTTCGGTGGAGTACACTAACTACAACTTTTCCAGATGTAGGTACCGATAGGCATATAAAATTATAAGAAATTTCAATATAGTCAAAATGACTAAGGTATGTTCGCCAAAGATGGCCCGCATCCTGGGCCACTTAAAAAATATGCAGTTATTTTTTCAGTTACTTTTTTTCGATATTTTGATTGTCAAATAAATACATTACAACCTCCAATATATTTCTTCTCTACTATTTATCTACAAAATTATACAAGGTTTTGAAACAAGGTGGGCCTTATTAGGCGACTGTACCTTATACTAAATTGACCTCTTGTTCTAGTAACAATAGGTCATTTTGTACTATGTAGTAACATCTCATATCCAACTCCTATAAACTGGGCAATATAAAGAGACACTCAGATTAGGTACCACCCTAGTGTTACCTCACTTTTAGAATAGACATAACATAACATCACGCCTTTTATCGGTAGTCAGAGGTTCATATTACGGCATTTAATGCCACTGTACAATGTAACATTCACTTTTCACTACTTATGGTACGAGTCCCATGTAATAGGGGGTGAGCCTATTGCCATATACCGGGCACAATTTCAGACTCCGTGCTACTCAGCCAACTAGGCAGTCTACTGAAGCGAGTCTGTTAGAACAGAATATCTACTGAATAGCTGTTTGTACAATAGACGATCAAATAATAGTCACAACATCAAAAAATATTTAAGTAAAGTAAGCCGTAATATACATCGAAAACCATAACTGGCTATAGAATTACGGAGAACTCATTTTTATGAACTGAAGTAACTAGCGTAGGAATAGGCAAGCGCGAACCAATTAAACTTTTCTATCAGATGGTGCTATTTTCAACTCGGAAATTAGATAATCATGTCGGCTACAAGGAATGAGATTATACGACTATTCTTGTCGAGATAAAACTATATTTAGGTTCAGTAAATGGAACACTATTGGCATTTTATCATTGAACCTAACTTGGAAAGATTGTGGGCAAACACACCACGTTACATTCGTGTAGGATTATTTAACACCCACAAATTAGACAAAATTTTCCTATAACGACAATGTGGCTGAATCTTATGACTGACTGAACGTTTTACATTGTCATTGCTACTCGGAAGTCGGAACCCAATTTTGTATCCTTGTAATGTCAATGAACTTCCCTTTTTATGTAGGTACAGGTATCATAATATATGTTTCCTAAATAATAATACTAGGTGGAATTTCCATATGTAGTCATTTGGAAACTTTTTATATTATATCCTTGTTTATACAATTGTAATTGGGTACCTACTTCTGAGGTCGTTACACCACACTAACTAAAACCAGTAACTAAACTGACCTTATTCAAGTTTAAAACAAACAGTAATCTGCCTCATTACCTTTTGACACGCATTTGACACTTCAACAAGTTCCCTTAGGTGACACGACGTTAAATATAAATGGGCATAACGTTTTCCGTACTACATTCAGGTTACCTGATACAAGCAATTAGGTACTGCTACAGGGATGGCGATTCAGAGTAATGAACTACTTAATATAATTAGTTTTAGAATTAAAAAAAAAATCTCAGTAATGGCAATAAGCTCACCCATGGGACTTATAACATAAATAGTGAAAAGTGGGTGTTACATTACAGTGGCATTAATTGCCGTAATATGCACCTCTGCCTACGCCTTCGGGGATAAGGCGTGATGTTATGTTACGTAAATATAATTAATTATTATTTTGATGGCACATGTAGGACCTTCAAAAATTTTTCTTGAGAAAAATGGAACGTTGATACGTAAAGGTTCGCCATCTCTGTACTACTATATCTAGGACCTCCTCCTAGACTGTAAAACTAGAAGTGGTAGGAACCATTAATTATAATACACTTGGATTAAATACGATAACGACAGAACTGTCATAAAACTATTTTGTATCTAATGCAACAACTTAGTTTGGAAACAATTAAATAAAATAAGAAACATAATAATATACTTAAGTACTTTTTAAAATTCTTAATTAAAACAAATATACGTGTTTGCTTCATATTCTTCAGATCATTTACGTGGTTTCAGCCACATACCTGCTCTTATTTGTAGGTATCTTAATAAAAAATATCTACACAAAACCTAATTGTCATTTGATAGCTTTTAAAATATCAACATCAATCATTTTGCAATCGACGCATTTTTTCTATGTAACATTAAAATATTGTTAAACCATTATATAATAGTTTGTTTGTCCTTCTAAATTGTAGACTGTTTTATGAAAATCTGTAATGCGGAAATAATGTTGTTAGCATTTCTGTAAGTAACGTCTTAAAAAAGGATTTTTTAAAGACATTGCGTTTGAAATCTAAACGTCAAATTACTATGCTTGTTGCCTAGAACTATATATATATATATATTACTAATATCCATTTACAAATCAAAGCAATGTCTCTGACATACCTTTACAACAAAGTCCACCACAGATACTATCATAAAAGTTGTGTAGGTACCTCTCAAACACATCATAATTCTCGTAGCGATAGCAACGACCTCATGCGTCACCATTGAGAACCACTCGGCCACGCTACCAGTATCTCAATTAGAATCGCTTAAGGATGGTACTTACCGTATCCTCCACGCCACGTCAATACTGCCGAGGGAATCAGGAAAATGGCCGTAAACATCAAGCTATCCAAGTCCAGCTTACCTTGGTCTCATGTTGTATGATCTTTCCACAAATTCACCGGTCAGTTTATACTGGTACTTATAGCTTGATGTGTGTCGTGTGGACATTCCTCCGGAACTGTCAATAACGATGTCTATCAAATTGCAACAGGAAGTGGCCTTTGTATATGAACGAATCTCGACAATAATGTCCCTTCTAGTAAACTCCCACGTTACATCTGTGCTCGAGGTTTTTCTGTGATAATGTCGTAAAATTCTCATTATACCCGATGAAGTACTCAATTTGATATCCTTGTCTCGTTTCGTAGATACGGTGTGAAGTTGACCACTCATCCCTGAATCTCGTAAACGGACAAAATTACAGGACACATCTGTTGCTATCGAGCCAATAAAATTATGTTATAAGCACGGCAGTAATAATATTCCAAGTAATTACCTGAACCTTACTTCCTTTTGGTAAAGAATTACTGAGATAGAAAAAAAATGTGTAGACAAATATGATGAATTACTATCAAAAGAAATTCAGATTTGGATACATATATGAGGGTAGATTTTAATCAACTCCCAACCTCGGTTTTACTAACAAACAGTGGTAAAATTAAAACTTTGGCGTCCATAGGAAGTATTACAACGCCTTTTACAACATATATATGAAAAAAAAAATTTAGGTTATACATTTATGTTGCTGCAATGCTCTTAAAATCTTTATCAGAGCTAAATGTCAAAAACTAAAGGTGTTTTGAAGTGCCAATTATTTAAATTTCAAAAGCTATCCCTATAGATGTCTTCACTACAATTTCCTGAAAAAATGTGACCCACTCAAATATCAAAGGCTGGATAAATTTAAATAAAAGCCCAATTTGGGGTCAGATTATTTCCGTTAGCCCAAGTTAATGAGAAACTCTCATCTATTATATTAAAACCGAAACGATCTTAACACGACGATCACTTTACAAAAAAAATAGATTTTAGTAACTGTTACATACATTTATAATAGCACACCTACAAAAATTATAATTACTACAACAGATGAAACAGACGGATAATAATAAGTGAAATAATACATTATTTTAGTTTCACTAAAAAGCTAATCAAGACCTTTTATTCGCCGATACGGAGCCGCGGAAGACTTAACGGGTTGCCGGTCGAACGGCAGGAATTGGAACAGGGTGGTTTTTAATCAGTAAGAGTCTGACACTCCCTCCCGCCTCACCCGGGCGGGAGAAGTCATTCGATGATTTTTCCACCCTTAAAGAAGAAAAACCTTTTATTCGACACGCACATAAAATAACAGTATACATTATTATTTTGTTCTCATGTTTAACTACTACTACAAGTTATAAACCAGTACTATAACGTAACGATACAGCTCAAATCATAGGTTACCTATTGCCTGGTCATAAAGCGAGCATTCTGAGTAATCATCTTGTTACCAGCGGTAATACCCTTGCAAGAGGTGAGAGGTATCATATTTGTACTTTGAATAACATAAAGGTCACTGCAAATATACTTGTATTTGTACCTGTATTGGTGAAAATTTTCGCTTTGAGAACTCTATAACATTGTGATTCGGTTGAAACTTTGATTATACAGATTTTTTTGTGATATTATAAATATATAATAGATACTTAAATTGATAAAACATTGGCAAACAACATAGCTAGAAATACACATCTAACGAGTATCTTGTTTACAAAAGCGATGTGTTTATTCTTTATAGGTTAATGGTATTGTAATAGTAGGTACCCATTTATATTTAGTCGCTTATTTGAAAGTATCTATACAGTGGGCGTTAAAAAAACAAAAGTAATATGATAAAGGGCAGACGGGAGAATGAAGAAGTCTATTATAAATTTTGACTGCAATTTATGCAGGTTTTAATAAATTTAATTTCTTTCCCCAGATACCGGTGGTGGCGGCAGTGGCATTAGGAAGCTGTACGCACTCCGCCCTCTCAGACCTACCGGCAACATCAGGTGGGCTTTTGTATTTTCATCTTTTCTTCTGTCCCTTAAACTTAAAGTTCATCTTCTTTTAATTGTATTTATTTCTATCTACATTCTATTTGTACATAGTCATTGTCCATTCCCCACCCTCCACAGGTACCTTAATTTTATTTCTGCATTACTATAATTAAGTCTAAAATATCGTTGTACGTAGATCTTACAACCGCAGATCTCTCGTGGAGGCGGACGGTGGCTACCCGGGTGCCAACCACCATGACCCTGGCCTGCTGTGGACCGGACTCGGCCGGTAGACGACACACTCACACACCCACACACTCATACACCGACACATACACTCACAGTGACCAACGTAACGGAATGAACCATGTAGTACAGCCACGGAAACCGCCGCATGTTTCACATTTGAAACCAAATTATTTAGATGTAAGTGGTGTATCGCTACCGGAGATTATTTTAGCTCTGCAGGAATATTGCTATCTGTGAAACTTATACTAAGTACGGTATCTAGTCGACCTCTGATCTAGTCAATCGAAAGTTTGGACTAACTTGACAATCCTAAGATTATAACTACACAATTAAACTTTCACTTTTCATATTCAGTTCTTTAAATCGTCCCCATAGATAGATTTACTACGGCAGTAAGTTTCTTTCAAAAATGTCTTGGGATTTTCAAGCTGAATTTCATATGGAACATTTTTCTATAATCCCTATTTCAAGTAGATGTAAGCATTTTGCCCATGAATGTATTATTAAAGTACCTACTTAATGGTTATTAAAATAAATTTAGAAATACATAATTATTACTATTCATTTTCTATTGTATTTGGAAATTCTTATATTTCCATTGTAACATACTATTTAAAAGATTACTTCGATATTGTGGACTTTCTATTGAAAATGAAGTTACGTTTTCTACTTGATGTCTTTATGAGGAGTGTAAGCCGATTTGCACCTTCAAACGATCAAAGACGATGTGTGTAAGTCATATACATGAACCTAACATTTAGCTTGTAAAGGACACATTATTGAAGAACTATTCATTTTTTAATCACAAAAACGCTGAAAAATTTTCTTACGAATTAGTACTTATATTTTTATGTTGCTATTGAATTGTGAATTATTTATTTTATTTATTGGATAACTCGAGCAACTATTATGGCCTTTAGATTTACTTTTTTTTTTCAATTGAGCGGCGACAGCAACTTAAGGCACTGACTTATAAATGGGTTCAGAATTTTCCAACAATACTAAACGTGTCGTTTCTTTGTTATGATCCCATATTTATAAAATGTATTAAATTATTATAGGTAGTTACCAAAGATTCATGTACCTATTACGTTATGTAAACGTTGAAATTTTGTCTCTTTATGGAAAGAATACTGTACCTAAATGTATGTCTATTCGAAGTTAAATATCTACTCTAGATAATTAAGTACCGTATGTAAACTAACACCGAATATTATTTGTATTAATATTTACGTATTTAATATTAATTTACAATTTCGTTTACATTTCAAACAATTTACAATTTATCAATTGTCACAATTAAATTAATTTCTATTAACAATGTATTCATTTAATTCGTTGTAAGTTTACATACAAGAATAAATGTTTCAATAAAATATTTAATGTAAATACAATTTTATCTCCATCGCATTTACATTTCATTAAATGTACGTTTAGCAATTTAAACGGATTAATTATATTATTATTATTAGAGTAATATTTAAATTTAAGTATTTAATTGTCGCGATATGTTTATGAAATTAATGATATATTACATTGCTGATGTGTTTTATTTATTGAATACCTGGTTTCCTAAACTTAACACAACATCTTAGTACATAGGTAATAGTGGAAAAGACGGGCCTCAATCATTCATATGATTCAGATATTACGCTACGTAAATAGTTAGCTTAATTCTTGCTTCAAGCTCTGTCAAAGGAATTTCTCATTACTAAGAAACTTGCAATATCTATTGGACTAGTAATAAACTTTTGCATATTCATAGCAAACTTGAGTACCTATTTGTAGTAATTTGATACAACCATTGCTGTTAGTATTGTGTAGACGACAACGCCACCGTTACAGAGTATTTTACACAGTGATTAAGTGATCCTTACTATTATTATAACTAACGACGAAAGTGTGTTTCTTTTCGTGTTGAAACTTTAGAAGATTACATGGTATGATTTTCGTTTCTGAAGACACTGAATTTAAGGAGTGACAGGTAGACAGGAATAAATTACTTTTGAAACATGTGAAGCCGCTGGTAGCAACAAGTTTTGCAATATTTACCTTCTTGCAAGACCAATAACCGTATTCATTTCCTTCCTCATTCACGTTCACGTTTTGTGATAGTCATACAAATAGTATCAAAGATATGAGATAGTACATTTACCCGTGACCAATTGCTGGTAATTCCATAGCCATTTGGACAAGAAACACTTCCTTATTGTCAGACAATCATCATAATAGCCCCGAACGACTGATCGACTTTTCGGAAGACATTATTTAATCTAACTAGATTGTGGTAACGAGCTGCGCCCACTATGTACTACTGTCTTTAGTACTAGTAATTCAGATCAAACGAAGATGTTATGATAATATTATAGGAATTTAGTTACAATATATTACATATCATAGGCACATTAGGTCCTTCCACAATTCAATGTTATCTATATCAACTTTGCACCAGTTATGATATCAGTCCCCTGTAATAGGGAGATTGAGCCTGTAAGTTTAATTAATTTTCTATGAGCTTATGTTCATTTGTTTTTCTTCGTCTAAATTCATTTACGGTTTTTATGGGATTATGTGTAATAGATTTTGATGATAGTTATAGTAGTTTTTAAATTAACTTCTAATGTGTAACTGCGTTTATTGTATTAGGTGTGCCTGTGATGATAAATGTAATGTTTAAATATAAATAAATAAATAAACATTTCCCATCTAATGGGGATGGGATTAAAATCTTCACCAATTACTTTACTGGCGATATTCAGAAACCAAAACGTTCGATGTGACTATCTCAATTCACATCAACAATATGAAGTCAGTAATTGAAAAGCAGTAATAAGTATTTATTTATAGAAATCAAGTACCTGTAAAACTCATGCTTTCGAAGAGCACCTGCAAATTCGGATAAAAAAAATCAATTACTAATAAAAAATATCTAGTGAACCAACACAAGAATGATATCTTTAGTATCCCTAACCACAGCAGAAGATCAGCACCTTCTTTAATATATCTGTGATCAGCACAGTTTTCGTATTTCATAGTAATTAATGACCCTTTTTTAAGGGGTATAAAATCATCGCATGACTTCTCCCGCCTGGGTGAGGCGTGTCAGACTCTTAGCGACTAAAAACCACCCCGTTCATACAGGAGTATGAACGGGGTGGTTTTGGTGGGAGCTCGAAGTGCAGGAGCACTTCGAGCTCCGTATCGGCAATGACTGACCCTGAGACAACAGATTGGATCAAGTTATTGTCCATTACTAGAAAGGGACTAGGTATTTAGAACAGGCCCACAAGGGGAATTTACAATTGATGGACAACACAACAAAAGCTTTAAGTATTAGATAGATTTTTTACTCCTCTTTAGCGGTAGTCGTAGTGTAAAATCCTACGATCTCCGGCCACCGTAAGCGCGGGACTGCGGACGGCGAGCATGGGTGGCTCCACGTCCGACCAGAAACAGACCCGAGCGTACGGCGCGTCGCGTTCCGCGCGCGCCTCAAAGAGCCATCAGACCACCACAGATAGGGCCCAATAGGGCCGATGCCGATTCGGAGTCGCGGAGAACCTAACGGGTAACCGGGGCTCCGGCTCGACGTGCAGGAGAAGGAACGGGGTGGTTTTTAGTCAGTAAGAGTCTGACACTCCCTTCCGCCTCACCCAAGCGGGAGCAGTCATTCGATGATTTTCCCCCCTTAAAAAAAAGGGTAAAATCCTGGTGCCCCGGAGGTTAAGACGCCCCGCTTCTCATGGATGAGGGTGCGGTTCAAAACCTACAAACGGAAAGTACCAATGTAAGTTTTTTCGAGTCATAGGTATGTACTTTCTAAAATTATTCAGACACCACTGACAGGCGTGAAGGAAAACATCGTGAGGAAACCTGGACTTATATCTATATATTATAATGAACAAGCGTGGTGATTAATGCTCAAACCGTCTCCGTGTGAGAACAGACTTTGCCTAGCAGTAGGCACTTATAGGCTGTTGATGATGATGATGATGATGATGATGATGATGATGATGAGCGGTAAATCAAAAACATATTTAACCATAAATAAATCATACATTAAACGTACTTTTACTTGCACGTTTTAGATATTTAAATAACTTTAAAAATAAGTAAATATTTGTCACCTACATTATGTTCGGAACTTAGTTGCACTAAGACACGGCAATTTATGAAGGCCATTACAACCCCTCACAAGTTAGGAAACCCTTTCTTAGATCTTGTAAACCAATAAATAAACCTGTAAAAGTAAACATTAGTCCCTTTAAACAGGGCCGTCTTAGACTACGCTGGGACCCTTGCACGAAATAATTTGGTATCTTTCTTTTTTTAACGTTGCTCCACACTAGGAATGTCTCCTGTATCGTGGGTATTTACAAACATACAAGTTCACATAAACAGGACTACCAGACCCGAAACAACAATTTGTCACACAAAGAATTCGCTCCGTGCTGGAATCAAACCTGGAAAGCGGGTGTCTGTCTAAAAATTGTCGATCCTTCGGGGCCCCTGAGGATGGGGCCCTGGGCACTGGTAAAGACGGTTCTGCCTTTAAAGGGTGTAAAAGCTTAAACATAGTTATTACTGTTATCAATGACATACATATTGTATCACGGTTGTTATCAAACATATTAATAGTAATAATTACCCACGTTTATCAACTCTAAGGGTCATGTAGTTCCCTATAGGGATGATGGCAGGGTATGACAATTAAAAAACTAATTAGTCCGTCAGTTAGGTCATGGAAAATATTAGACACGTATATTTTATTTTGTCGTATAAGAAAACAATACTTAGATAAAACGAATCAAAGTTTAGGAGTGGGAGGTAGCTACGTAATATTTGAGTATAAATCGTACTCAAGAGTGAAGTAATTCAATGATTTTCTCCCCTTAAAAAAAAGTTCATCCTACCCCCATGGGAGACAGGCGTGGGTTAATGTATGATTATGATACCTACAAATTAGTGTTTCATGTGAAACAGTAGAATATTTTAGATACTAGGTAAGTGCAGGTACACCACCTCCAACCTAGAACCGATAGATTAACATTTTTATGTTTCCTGAAAAGTTTTAATAGATTCGCGCAACCTGGGAGTTGATACCATTTGTCAATATTATATTTTTAGTATTTTAGTATTAGTTTCCTTATTCAAATTTCAATATTATTCATGGAACATAATCAGGGAAATTATCTAAGAGTAAGTGTTTTATATTAATCACTGTACTCAATTGCTCAAACAGTGTCGACCTGTCGCAATTACATGGGACTCATAACATAAATAGTGAAAAGTGGGTGTACAGTGTATACAGTGGCATAATGTGCACCTCTGCCTACCCCTTCGGGGATAAATGGCCTGATGTTATGTTTTGTTATGTTATATTATGTTCTTTAAAAGAGTCTCGATGTCTTTCTTGTTCTTCTCCATTCGAACTACACTTTGGAACGAACGTCTAACTTCACTGACTGACAGAGCCGAACGGACACTTGAATTTTTGACGTTATTATAAAAGTACATAATAAGGGATTAATTGAAATCGCAGAACATATAAACCTACTTTATATGTTCTATGAATTGAAATAATGCTTTGACTTTACTTTGGATTCTAAACGTACTTAGGTAATGTATGAGATTCAAGGATAATTTCGCAGGAAATCTAACTATAACATTTATAAAGTTTCAAGGATATTCTCGCGTCATTTGTAAGGTGGACAGAACAGTAATCCGGAGTAGTGGTACATAGTTTATTAACTGAGCACTGAGCACATATAATATTAATGTCCATAATAACATCAGCTGGGATAAAAGGTGTCTGGTTTCGTGGGGTGACCACGATGTAGCAGGACCTCTGATTTGCTTTAATTTATTCGGGATAAATGCTTCATTACCTTCGTTCATTCATACTCTATTACTTATTCCCGATAGAGTACTTTAAAAGGATGCTGATAACAGACAGGGATTTAATTTATTCTTTGGAAAGTTCTATAACACAAATACAAGTTGTGATCAGACATAACACCTCGTTTGGTTTGGGAATTGCACAACTTGATTCCCCCTAGTCCTTTCCATCATCGTACCACAAGACAATCGGCGAAGCGTCACCGATTTATGGTAGATGTCCCACCCACATGCACGAAGCGCTTCGCATTAACCTTCCTTGTGCGTACTGCTAAGGAGTGGAATTCTTTGCTAGAGCCTGTATTTCCTGAAGGGTATACCCTGGGTGTCTTCAAGGCCCGAGTGAATAGA